TTCCTTCCCCTACCCCTATGTTCTTCCTTCTTTTTAATGATTATCAGCTCCTTGTGGGCGAGGCTGTTTTATGTACACACTAGAGGCCTGATGCATGAAAGTGTAAGGGCCAAAACTGATTTGGCTCAGTGGATAGAGCATCAGCTTGCGGACTGAACGGTCCTGGGTTCAATTCCAGTTAAAGGCATGTACCTTGGTTGAGGGCACACCCCCAGTAGAGGGGTGTGTAAGAGGCAGCTGATCAATGTTTCTAGCTCTCTATCCCTCTCTCTTCCTCTCTGTAAAAAATCAATAAAATATTTTTTTAAAAAAGAAATAAAGATAATGCAAAGGGCTTAGGACCCCACAGCCACAGTTTTGTCAGTAAGGTTGTTCGGAAGGACATCGGGAAGAACGTCCAATCTAATTAGCATATTATGTTTTTATTATTATAGATTCTTTTGACTTAGTCCTCGCAGATCACCGGACTGAGGGCTGCTCAGTAGATTTCTGATACAGCTGCTTGCAGTCAACTAGATTTTGCTGAATAGTGGATGAAACTTGGTTAAGAGAGGACTTCATTTGGAAACATGCATCCTCACACTGTAGTATACCTGACATGCTTCTGGCTATAACAGACTTTCAGTATCTCGTTAGACCCCCACAGAAAACATGTAAGATGGGGTGGAGAACCATCCCCAGTTTCAGATGAATAACACTCTCAAAGCAGTTAAGCACCACGGTCACACATTTAGGAGAGGATATTGTTGCGTCTCCTTCCAAAAAGTCCTACATGATGCCTTTATGAAGACTCCATGGGATTTGCCATGAGGATGGGGATTTTCAGAAGAGGGGAAAACAACTTTTTATGAGGAAAGACGGGGTTGCGGTTGGGAGTGGGGTGGAGAGAGGTGGAGGGGACAGGGACAGTGGGCTCAGGTAAACAGGTGACAGCAGATAAATAGGCAGAGGGCACATGGCACCCTCTTCTTAAAGATCACAGGTTACACTCAGGCAGGGCCATATTTGAGAGTTTAGAAGTGATCCAATTGTGAAACAGAGAACAGGAAGAAAGGGGAAGTTTGCGGTTCTTATCCTCAGGATTAGCATCCTGGGAGGAGGTTGGGTGAAGCACAGCGCAAAGTCCGCATGGTCCGTATTGCTTAGTGAAAACCATCCAATTAGAACTGCCTAGTGGCCAGGCTGAGTTGGATGTTAGAGTGCAGAAGGGAAATGCCAACTCATGTTCTGAATTCAGACCCCAATTTTCTCTCCGTTGCCTGTCAAGCTCAGAGAGGAAGAAACTTCCCAAATCACATCTCTTGGTGACAGGCAGGCTGGGGCTTGACTCCAGCTGTCTGCTTACTGAGGGAAGGACTGGAAAAGACCAGAGCCCTAGAGGACTAGGGAACACAGAGCTGTGTGAAGAGCAGCCCTGGTGGCTTTCTAATTCCCCGGTGGCACTGCCTGTATCCACTGGCCATGATGCACACCTGGTGCCCCAGACCTCCAGGTGATATCTGCCACAGCTGTTCGTATTACAAACTGTCTAGTCTCAATGACAAATTCCTGATTTGTACACAACGACACAACAGGCTTTTGTGTGCAGGTCTGGGAACCACCCCTCCATTTGAACCTGATCTCTTCATAAAGTGGGTCCTCTCTGTGCACGAGGACAGCAAAATGGAAAGTATACGCAGTGTCCTTAGAACAGCAAACTACGGAACATCACTGAGAGAAAATTTAAAAGATCTATATAAATCGAGGAACATACCATGTTCATGGACCGTTAGTCTCAATATTATAAAGATACCAAATTTGCCCAAATTTATTTATACTAGACTTTACTCTCGATCAAAACCCAACAGTTCAGAAGTCTTTATTGCTGCTGTTGTTTTGTTTTTGGTGGAATTTAATAAATGAACTTGAAAATGTTGTGTAAATGTAAAAGACAAAGAATGCCAGGATGCCGAAATTGGTTTGGCTTAGTGGATAGAGCGTCGGATTGTGAACTGAAGGTCCCAGGTTCGATTCCGGTCAAGGGTATGTACCTTGGTTGCGGGCACATCCCCAGTAGGGGGTGTGCAAGAGGCAGCTGATCGATGATTCTCTCTCATCGATGTTTCTAACTCTCTATCTGTAAAAAATCAATAAAATATATTTTAAAAAAAAGAATGCCAGGAAACTCATAAAGGCCCTAGCTGTATTGGCTCAGTGGGTAAGGTTCAGGTCTGTTGGTCAAGATGAGCAGAGGTTTGTTTTTTTGTTGTTGTTTTTTTAAACACATCTTGTGTCAATACCTACATATATTCATATAATGCCTGGAATCAGGAAGAGAATAACTGAATTAATTCTACAATGAGAATTAAAACCATAGCCCACTATTTTTTACACTTTTTGCACTCATATGTTACCAAGTATAATGGGCCATTGAGCACTCCTGGCCCAATTCGAGCAGGTTTCCTACCCATCTGTCATCCATTTGATGAGTAGACCATGTGTACTGGTCCAGATGCATGCACATTACAGAGAGCTCCTGAGCTCTTCCAGAAAAACTCCAACAACTGATACCTTTTCTCCTCACAGGTTAATTTCTTCTTTCAACTGTCACCTCACCTGCCACTTCTTCAGGGAATCTTTCCTTGCCCCCACTCCTACCCTGACTCCTGACTGGGGTGAGCAGTGTCATGGTCTTCTGATTTAGTGCTGATCATTCTTAATTAGGCCCCACCCCCAACACCTCTCCTTGGAGGCTGATCCCTAGGGACTAGATGGCCAGGACACCCTGCCCAGCTGGCCTGTTGGGTTCCACTGATGAGAGGCAGTGGCATGTTTTCCCCATCCCCTTTTTGCTGAGGTCTGAGTTTCTAGGGGTGGCTGCTTTTCAGAGGTCCAAGCCCCTCCTGCTTGGCTCCAGCCCACTCTCCTCCAGCACCATCATTCCTGCCATCTAGGGTGGTGACCGTGCCCCACTGCTGTGCTGTTCACTGGCTCTGGCAACCCTATCTGAGCTTCTTCCTCAGAAATCCCTTCGCTTTCACTAGGCTGGATTCTGGTCTCTGAACAAGGCTGTGACCCTGTGGAGTAGCAATTTCATATCAATTTATCTATAGGACTATTTTATCAACATTTTTTTATTCCTACTAGGCTGTGAGCATCGTGACACTGGCCCTTCAGAAGTTGCCAACAAATATTTGTTAAGTGATTTAGTGAGATTATGAATGCATGAAAGAATTCACATTAGAATCAGAATATACTGTACATAATGAGGACTTTTTAAATGCTCTTGCCATGTTTGATGTGGCACCAACCCAGCAGAGCAAACAGTTTTTCCTGTGGGCTGAAAATAGTCTTTGTTGGCAGGAATAACATATTCCAGCAATATGTGTAAAAGCTATGATTTCTCAATTAAAAAGGTTCAACTTTATCTGAAATGCCACCAATGATGAGATTCCAAATGGGCTGCAGTCAATTATAGCTCTAAGAGTCAGTAGGCATACTATAACAATGTTAACTAGAAAAAGAAGGCTCTGTGTCTCTGAAGATTCCATAACCTATTGCAAATGACTCTGGAAAATAAATACTTAGTAGTTAACATGGAGTAGGAGGGTTAACCACAGGCAGGAAAGGTTCTTTGTTAATACAATGAACTATCAACTCCACATTGCTGTCTTAGACTTCAAGGACAATCTGGGGTGATCCCAATATTAGACATGCAAGTTACATATTCATGTATGTAGTTAAACAACTTCTACAAAATGAACTGGAAAATTCTGATGGTAGTACACTGGTCAGAGTTTACAGAGTGGGGGACTGCAGTTCTGCAGATTCCCTTCTCTTCTGCGGAAGAAAAGTGCAGAAAAATCAGATCACTTAGGGGCAATCTGAGGTACTAGCCAAGATCTTTCAAACCAGTAAATGCCATACTATATGATACTAGAATTTTAATCTTGAGAAAACTAGTTTATAAATTACAACCACAACTGAATACAAATTATATCAAGAGTGTTTTTTTCTAAGGGCTATAGCAGCAAGGTCCTGGAGGGTAAGATTTTCAAGTGGTTGGTCAAGGGTCCTCTCTTTGCTGCAGTCTCTCTCCTGGTTGAACCTTGCCTGTTTCTTCTGGTGACGTTTTCATTGTAAAAAGTAATTCAATTCTGTTCATTCTAACCAACATGGAGACCAAAGGTCCACTTCCTCTAGTATGCAATTCAAGATTACTTAAAGCCTGTCACCAAGCAAGCTTGTTAGCTGATAAAGGAAAACCTTTCTGATACGGCACGACTTGGGATATGGGTCTGATTTTATAACCCTGAGTGATACGGCATGGTTTTTGTAATAGTTACAATATGAATACCTTGCGAGAGGGTGCGGGGAGAAGTGATTGAGTTAAAATAGTTACAATGCAGTTAAGACTGCTAATTCCTTTTACAACCACATAACTTGTTTTGCTATGTCTAATTCGGTGCAACAACAAAAAATTCCCTTTTCCTTATTCATTCCCTCTGGTCCAAACTACTATAGGAAATGACCACACCAGCTCCTTACTGATTGCTTCCCTGCAAACAAAAGAGCATTTTATACCTGATCCTGCCATTACCACGAAAGGGAATGAAGTAGAGATGAATCTCCTCCACCACTCGTGCCCCATGTAAAGCGACTTTTTTTTTTTTTTTTTTAGAAAAGGGTGGGGGGAGGAAAGCAGTACCGCAATCAGTTCCTAAAAGCTGATACTACCCCCCCTCCAGACTAGCTCGTCTCCATTCCCATCACCATCACCCACTTATGGGGCGCCCAGTACACGGAGCGCCCAGAGCCTGGCAGGCTCAGAAAAGAAGCATCTCTTTCAACAGTTTGAAAATCACGACTCCCGAGGCGTTCCCACCATCAGCGTGGGACTGGAGGGCCCAGCCCCAGGGCACCGGGCTGCGTTCCGGGTGCCCGCAAACCCAGGGCCGCAGCGCCCGGGAGGGGGGCCCCCACCCCCCGCCCTCCCGCAGGGACCGGCCGCGGGTTCTTACCAGCCAGCCCGCCGCCGCCGCCTCCATCGCCCGCATGCCCCTTCCTCCGCTGCAGGATGAAGTAGGGGTTGGCCCTCTCGGTGATCCACAGCGCGTTGGCCAGCAGCACCTCCTCGGGGTTCACCCACATATTCCCGGGCGCCGCGGGCGCACGCACAATGGGGCGGCGGCGGGGCGGCTGCTGCTCACACCGGCGCGCGCGGGCGCGCACTCCCGGACCCGCCGGCCCGCGCCCGGGCGGAGAGCGGCCTCAGCAGCGGGCGGCCCGCGGCGCCCCGGCCACAGCGAAGCCCCCGCGGGCGGCCGGGGACGGCGAGGACGCGGGCACCGCGAGCAGCATCCTCCCCGCGCGCCGCCGCCGCCGCCTCCCGCGAGCCCGCGGCCGCAGACGCCCAGGCCTGCCGCCCGCAGCTCGGCCGCGGCCCAGGGCGGCGGGAGGAGCGGGAGGAGGAGGAGGAGGAGGAGGAGGAGGAGGAGGAAGTGGTGGCGCTCAGTCTCGGGATCCGGCTCGGCTCGGCGGTGGGCAAGGCTGCGGGCTCCGCGAGCTGCTCCGGCCCCTGCGGGCTGAGCTGGATTGGGATGCGGCTGCTCCCGCGGCGCCGAGCAAACCTCCGGGCCGCCTGGGTCTCCGGCAGCTCAGAGCCCTAACACTCCGCGTCGGGACCGTTCGCACCCGCGGCGAAGCCCCGCTCCCCGCGGGCAGGACGCCCCGAATGAATGAGGGCGGCGCGGTCACTCGGAGCGAGCCCCGGCGGCTCCAGGCTCCTCGCGCGCGGGTGCTCCGGGGGCTCCGGGCGCCGCGGCTGGCCTCGGCGGCTGGCTTTGGAGGGACCTTCTGGCGACCGGGTGGCACGCCGCCGGCCCCACGCCCATCCCGGCGGAGAGGACGCAGCCAGTCTCCGCAGGGGGGTGTGTGTTTACGGTTGACGCTCCGTCAGCTAGCGCCACCCCTCTTCCCAGGAAATCAGGGCTTCGAGGTTCCAGAATGGGAGCTGGAAACCCGGTCGGGAAGGGGACGCAGCCAATGGCTGTGGATGTTTTTGTTTCCTGCCATCCCTGGGGCAAGTCATGCGCTAAACTTGTCACCGCCTGTAAGCCCTCCTCCTCTCCGTTCCATTGTATAGGGGCCCAGCTAAGTGCATTACATCACTTCTTTCCTTGACCTGGAGGGCATGAGCATTAGCGAAGTTGGAAGCAGCCCAAAAGCTTAGACCAACTCACACCGCAGCTTCCTATCTCAGGCATTTGGAGCTTTTGGGGGCCAGGCTAGGCAGAGTTCTGGGCTTATCCACATTTAATAAATGAATTAAATTTTTTAAAAAATAATTGAAATCAGAGACACACAAACCAGGCCAGCTTGATCCCTAGAGGTTTTGCTTTCTCCCCTATACTTCCATTCTCTTGTGATCACAGCTCATCTGCCTAAGTATCTGATGACCCTTTCAGCTCTTTTTACACCCAGGAGAGCCACAGATAGCTCAGCACAAAGGGCCGCCTCTACCCAAGTGATGAGAATTCGCCAAGCTCTGCTTTGGCGTGGAAGTTGAACAAATCCAGGGGCTTCTCCCTTTTCCAATGAGCAGAGCATTCAAAGACACTTTCTTGGGTGGACTTACATTTTTTGTTTAGGCAGCTCTCACAGTTGGATTGCTGAACTCCTTCAAATGGCCCAGTGAGCACACCCAGCCATTTTCCTGAGGCTGCCTCCGCATGTGTGGGTGTCCTATCTGGTGGGCTCTCAAGGAATGAAAGTTTTCCTTTTCATTACCACAGTGACGGTGCTTCTGCCTCTTTGCAAAAACAGTTCAGACCTCCAGCCGAAACCGGTTTGGCTCAGCGGTAGAGTGTGGGCCTGCGGACTGAAAGGTCACAGGTTCCATTCCGGTCAAGGGCATGTAGGTTGGTTGCGGGCACATCCCCAGTAGGGGGTGTGCAAGAGGCAGCTGATTGATGTTTCTAACTCTCCCTCTCTTTGCTTTGTGTTTTTCTTAAATCAAACATACCTGAACTAGAAATAATCAAAGAGAATTTAACTAATCCAACCAGTTTCTCGGTGAAATTAGTATTTTTAGCTTTCAATTTATTCTTATTGTTATTAAATCCAAGGATTATCTCAAATCACTTAAGAGGAAAAGCACTGAACAGATGCCTAGATAAGATAGGGGTGAGTGATTTAGTCTTTGTGTCTTGCTGAGATCTCTCCCTCTGGCCCACCCCAAACGGAAAGAAAGTATCAACACTTTTAGGGGTCTGTCGACCCCACCCTGGAGCAATCAATAGGTTTTCTACCTAATCCGCAGGTCTACCCTAAAGCAATACTATGTTAGTAGTAAATTTGCCTTTGGCACTTTTCACCTGCTTATGTATCACTTTTCCACCTTTTCTGCTTTTTCACCTTCATAGTGATATATTTTCCTCTCTATCTTCACCCTTCTTCCAGTAAGTCCTCTACTTTGCCCCCTAGGGACTTGCCCACCCCCGGAAATACCATGGAGTTCAGGGTACTTGATTTCTGTCCACACCCTGACCTCCCATTGCTGTGCCCTCTCTCATGGCCCAGAAGTAGGGATAAAAGCTGCAAAATTTTATTCATTCCAAGCCTTCCATTGCCCAGTACGCCCAGGTGTGGTCGGGCCAGTAGAAAATTCGGTTAGAGTTCCCACAGTGAGAATTCACCCAGCAGAATAATAAAATGCTAATGCTTCCCTGGGAGAAGGCAACACCTCCCCTTGCCTTCTACCTAAAGGTAACAAGTTAACATGGACCATTAAAAAAAAAAAAAAAAAAAAAAAAGCCCAGAACTTCGCTGAATAGCCTGGAGGGGCAGTAGCTCCAGTAGGGTATTTGGAATGTCTAGTGTCCAGTGAGGTAGAAGGAGAACAGTGGCCTGTCCAAGCAGGTGAGAGTAATATTGTTTCCAAGATCCAAGACTTTGCAGTAGCTTTGATATCTGATATAGTGACCTATACCGTGCACCTACCTGAGTTGCTTGCTAATCCAGCAGGAAAAACTAGATCAGCCAGTCATTAAAATGTCTGCTCTGCAAGTAATAGAGCTAATTGATGATACAGAAGCCATAGTTTGGTTCTTTCCATTTTAAGTGGCCTCACGGGTCTGCAGGCAGAACCATCCTTATATACAGTATGATTGGAGGGAAAGGATTCTTCGACACAGCGGTGATCTGTAATAGTATTACATTGCCTTCATTCAGTGGATCACTCCACCTTTTGAATCCTATGATGCTCTGGAAACTGAAAAGAAATAAAACTTTATTTATATCCATGTTGGAGATACTATGGTCAAGTGACCTGTGTCAAATGCATCTAAGTTCCTAGAATGAAGGAAGGAAAGAAGACAGCAACTTCTTTAGAAGGGGGGGGGGAAAAAATGAAGCAAGATATTACCAGATATTTGTTTGCTGCTTAACTCTTTGTCATGGCGAGCCTTAATGGGTAGGAAAGAGTGATAAGGTAAAGAGCTTAGACAACAAGGGAAGGTTGGGAGACACTTGCCTATTTCAAAGTTCTCTACTCTGAGTTCCCAGAAGGCAAGACCGTGAGATGCTGTTAAATCCCCAGACTTAGCACAGGGCCTCTGAGCATGCCCAACAAGGAGGTGCTTCTGTGACTCTTTAGAAATTCTTTCCCTCCTGTCCAGGAGCTGCATGGAGCAGCGCCTATTTCTCCACAACCTCATCTAATATGCTTGTAGGAAAGTGTCTTGCACTGGTTTTTATTTGGGGTGGAACATAGTTATGTGACTGCATTTTACTGTAGTTCCCATTACATTTTAGGGCTTTCAACCGACACAATAATGCTTTTTTTTCCAATATGAAAATAGTTCCCTTTTTCGGGTTATAAAAAGAATAAATGTTTATTATAAAAATGATCCTGATAGAAAAGTATAAGAGAGAAAGTAAAAGTAATGGCAAATTACTCCAAAATGCCATTTAGAGGTAACTATTAGAGATTGTTTTTTAAAATATATTTTTAAAATATCTTTTTATTGATTTCAGAGAGGAAGGAAGAGGGAGAGAGAGATTGAAACATCAATGATGAGAATCACTGATCAGCTGCCTCCTGCATGCCCCCCACTGGGGATTGAGCCTACAACCCAAGTATGTGCCCTTGCCCGGAATCAAACCCAAACCTTTCAGTCCCCAGGCCAACACTATCCACTGAGCCAAACTGGCTAGGGCCCATTAGAGATTGCTAGCAAGACTATTAGAGATTTCTCCATTTACAGATAACAACTGGCTTTTTGGTGAACATCTTTGCAAATATCGGCCTGTGAATATAAACATATGTGGACAAAGACCCTCCTTTATTCCCATGGCTGATTGTTATTTTGAGATAATGTAACTCTGCCTCTGGACCCAAGATTTTTTTGATGCTTCCTCCCCACGTGGAGTTACACTGCAGAGCAGGCTGCGGCTCTGGCCTCCTCCTCTCACTGGGCACAAGGGTGGGCCTGGGTGCTGGGAGATCTGATTATGTTCCCTTTTCTTCCAGATGTGTAGACTAGGCACTGAAAAGAATCGCCACTGAGTATAAACAGGTCAGGGATTACCCAGCATCTTGCTCACAGGTGAAAGGGAAACAAATGGAGCAATGCCAAGGACTCTAATTTCCCCTTTAAGAGACATCCACATTTTTCATGTGGAAAGCTTGTGGTAAACTTCCCTGGGCTCCTGCCAAGGCCCAGGCAATGTTTCCTAAACAGGGCAGGCCCAGGGTCATCAAGCAGAGGGTCCCCTACAGGCACAGCTGCTGCAGAGTTTTCATGAATCTAACATGTTTTGAAAACTGATGTCTCATGGAACTTTTTTTTTAAGTTCATGAGATAGATATTTAATATTTAAAACCACATGTTAACAGTTTTCCCCCTCAATTATGGAACTTTTATGGAGATGGCTGTACATGATAGTTAAGTTTTGAATGAACATCTTATCCACCTTGGGTCTTAGTGGGATTTTTTTTATTGATTTTTATTTATTTATTAAATTATTATCTATGTACATATCTTACCATTCCCCCCACTCCCATACATACCCTCCCTCCCCAGAGTTTTGCGTCCATTGGTTGTACTTAAATGCATGTATACAAGTCCTTCCATTTTGCTAAGCACAAA